CCCAAGTTCCCGAGGTAACTATCGACGTTGTCATGTTCATTCCATTTCAATGCAGATATCACTTTTCGAAACAAGACAGAATTTTCTTATAATTAATCAACAACTGAAATGATAATCGATGATTATCGGAAAACCAAAGCTCTTACCTATTTTATGTGTCGATCACACCGGCGAATATAAAAAAAAAAAGACCTCCCCGTGTAATTTAGAATTACGAAACTATTGCATTTACCTAATTTCCGTATTATTGTACAATAAATAATATACTCGAGTAATGATTTTCCGGATTTGTATATAAAAAGAAAACGCGATGTTATTATCATGGTACTTGTTTATTATTCTTATGTATTATTGTAAATTACGGATGATTGACGTTTTATTGTGCTATCGGAGAGTTTCAAGAAAGTGCCTGAGAACATTAGAACGTAAAATATGACTTTTGTCGCAATTATTTTGCCGATATCTCTGAAAATATGGGGAGCATCAGAAAATGTCGCAGACGCTTTGTGTAGCCTATAAAATTGGCTGTGATAAAGTTCTCTGACATTATCCCACAGGTGCACCCCTTCGCGAGATGTTTCAAAATAACCAAAGTGCCTGAAGACTAGAAATTAAAAAAATCAAATGACTAAATTGACGTCATCCTGTTTTATCATCGAATTATATTTTTTTATGGGAACAAAAAAAAAAGTTCTCAAATGAGCTTTATGTACATACAATTAACTTGACTCGATTCTACTGTCGTAATCGTATAAAATGGGATAGAATATTATATTATGTAATGCAGAGGGTATTTTTTTTTATGTATTAGAGAAGTAAATTATTTGTTATATTATTTGAAGTACAAAAGTGTTTTAGCTTTATGTACACACGAGAAACTTACGAGCCCCATTAAATGTTTAGAATAAATCATTTTAAACAGTAAAATAAATGTTCAATTTATTCCTACTATTACAAAAAAAATATTCATTTCTCAATTACTCATTAATGTAGTGATGCTTTCGCAATTGCAACGACTGTTTATTTTTGATCGTCGAATAGTAACGCTGAAGACTTGATCAGTGTTTTTGCACTATTATTTACATCTGATAAAAATAACTTATCAATTCAGGTGTCAATCATGCAGGTAAGGCCAACCACTCGTCATCAATCGCTTCAGGAGCTGGTGATCACTGAATTCCATTTTTACTAATTATTTTTATTAAATTCTTCTCAGCTTCGAGCGTCATACAGCGTTGGGGGAACTTTAACCTCGAGTCCATCCAGGTTGCTCGTTAGAACTATTTGACAACCGAGTCGAGATCTGATCACAACAGATAGGAAAAATAATAAAAATATTTAATGATTACCCACTTCTTAATGAAGTTATTCAGGATTAAATACTCACGTGTCCGTTAATCCAGAGGCCAAATCTAACATATCGTTCTCCTCGTCAGTCGGTTTATCAGGTAATTTATCATAAACAGCCTTTGGAAATATTAAATGACATGTACTACATGTCAGCGTCCCTTCACAGGCACCTACGGTATTGAAATATGATTTTATTTAGTTTTGTTAGCGATAAATATTGTTAAAGAAGTTATGGAGATTCTTTCAACTCACCGTAACCATCCAAATCAATTTCGTTATTCACAACAATATCTAAGAGCGTATCTCCTATTTTTCCTTTCGCTTCGATTCTTTCTCCACTTGCTCGTATGAACGTCACTTTTACTCTAAAAAATAAACGTCAATTTACATT